CTGAACCGCCCCACACCAGAAGTAGCTGCGTTTCAGCAACAGGAGAATTAACGGCAAAGGGTGGGTTTGGTCTAAATCACTGAACGCCGGCCTGGGCTGTTGCCTGCACCGTCTCTTGACAGCTGCAGGAGCAGAAGTAGGTCATCACAGAGCAATTCCAAAAACCCAGATGCTAAACCTCAAACTCTGTAAAGGCCAGTGTTCTTCTAGCAACGTCAAGCCCTTGAGTTGGCAATGGGGGGGTCATTTGGCCCCCCTTGCCACGTGCAGTGCCATGTTGCGGTCTGTCTAACAAAGCAATCGCATTCATGAGCATCCGTGAACACCTTGTGCTGGCTGTCCGTGGTTGACCCCCCTATTACAGCGTCTGCTTCCCCGTGGTTCCCAGCACCGAGCACAACGGTTTCTCCCGGCCCCTGTGCTGCTGCCAGGTACCACAGCAGCCCCGAGCAGCCGGATGCTGCAAAATAAAGGAAACAATCCTCCTCGTTCCCTGCCTCTGAGTCAGAGCGAGCTCGGAGGACAAAGACGTTCGGAGAATGTAGCTGCCAGCTTCTAACAGGGTCTGGGCTCATGAATGCAAAGACCTTCCAAAAGGCTTATAAATCGCATTGTGTCCTGAAAGCTTTCCCACAGGAAGAACGGAAGACACATTCCGGCACCAACACACTAAAGTAGGAGGGGTGATTCGCTACACAACGGCAATGGACAAAGCTTTGAAAAATAAAAAGAAAAACAAAACTGAGATAGAAAGGCAGACCGCAATGCATCCTAACTGTAGACATCTGGAGGTTTCCCAATTCCACATCCAAGCTGGTCATCAGGGCTTTTACTATACCCATGGTCAGACGCTGGTACCTCCAAAAGCTTCCAGTTGATGTCCCTCTGCAGGGACCAGCGAAAGCCCACACTGTGGCTAGCTTCGACTTGAACCCAAAAAACGCCCACTCTGGGTGTAGCTGCAGTTTGAGCAAGTAGCCAATAGCCCCAACGTGGGACAGTTCAACCTCAACAGTAGAAGCGTGACAAATGAACGAAATTAGTTTTGCCAGTGAAACAAGGATCTAAAACAATTGCAAGGTTTTAGCATGTGTCGCCAGGAAGGACTCAGAAAATTTTAGAGGAGATCAGATTAGCAGCTCTAGCCCCCACCCTGTGTCTGACGGGATTTGGGGTCCCTTTGCTGGAGGGCAGCGAGCTGCAGGGACCTCGGAGACTCACCATGCCCAGCGTGCAGGAGAATTCGCCCAGGAAGTCATGCTCGTACAGCTGCATGCTCGACTTGTCCTGGTCAAACAGGGCGAACTTGAGCTTCTGCACTTCTTCAAAGTGGTAGTCGATGATGAACTTCTTGGCAAAAGCTGGGTTGAGGTTGTTCACAGCTGTCTCTGTCCTGTCAAGCTGCAAAGAAAAAACGAAGAGGCGTTTAGGCGTCTGCGTCTTGCCTCTTTGTCACATGCCCACATGAGACATGACTTCATGACTTCAGCCAAAGCCACCCAGAAATCCTGCAGTGACCATCAGAGGGTGAGCGCAGCAGGCGTTCAGCAGAGCTATCCCTAAATGCACCCATAATACCCAGCGTATGAGGGGTGGGACCCGTCTAAATGAGTAACGACACTTCACGCAGAGGGCTGCATCCCCAGGGATGGGGTGCACGGGGCTGTACAAGCCCACCCTGGCCAACAGCCGGGACAGGAGCACCCACCCAGCCAAGGCTCAGCGCGGACTCGAGGCTCGTTGAAGCCAGAGCCGTTTCATTGTGTTTCCAAGCCCTGTTCTCCCAGGAGCTGAAGCTCTCACGCACCTCCGATCCTCAGCCGGACACAGCTGTAATGCCAAACCTGTTTCTTTCAGGCTGTGCAGCTAACACAAGGACAAGCAAAACAAGAGAAAGTGTCACGAGCCAGAGCAGCAACCCTCTAACATTTCTCTCTAGACCTCAAACCAAAACACTCGTGTGGTTTCTTCTTTCTTGGCCTTCCGTGGGAGAAAAAAGAGAGAGAAAAAAAAAATCACTGAGGCCATTTTTCATCGATTTCATCAAGCGTCAGGAGAAACAAGAGGCCGAAAAGACCCAGAAGACAAGACTTCAACAGGCTTTGCCATATCCTGAGCTATTGCGAGCAGCCTGGAAGGGACGACGTCTCCAACGGCTTGGAAGGGCAAGCGCACGGAGGACGACGGCAACTGGAAGGCGCGTGGGGAACCCGCGGTCGGAGGGGGAGAACCGCGGCGGTCTG